GTGCTAATGGGAGCACTGGGCCTGATGGCTTACCGTGCTAATGGGAGCACTGGGCCTGATGGCTTACCGTGCTAATGGGAGCACTGGGCCTGATGGCTTACCATGCTAATGGGAGCACTGGGCCTGATGGCTTACCATGCTAATGGGAGCACTGGGCCTGATGTCTGTCAGAGCAACACGTCATTCTCTTCATTCAACCTGATCTGAGTTTAGTTTTCAGTACTTTTAAAGTGGAAAAGCCAGACTGGTTGCAAATGGAAGGAGACATTTCAGCCAGAAAATATTATTTGTAAGCTTTAGGTGAATGATTTTCATAAAGCAGTTATACCCAGACAGGAATATTTTAATTATTTTCATTCAATAAAAATAATTTCATGTATAACTTTTTATTTTTTATTCTATGTCCCCCACTTTGAAACCAGGGGTGTTTTGTAAAAGCCTAGCATCAGGACGAGCAAAGTAATCGATTACCTCCTGCTCTCATCTCTCTCGCCATGTCTCTCCTCAGCCGCACTGACATCATGTTCACTGCTCGGTTCGCCGTCGCCTCCATTAAAACCATCATCATATTTACCATCAGAAACCGGAGCAGATGAAGGTCCTGCTGATGGGAACATGTCAGTCAGTTTGACACATTTCGCAGCGTCCGTTTGAAGAACTCGTTTCTTTTTTATCGCGCAGTTTCTCTGCGCCTCCCTTCCATTTCTTCTCCATTACTACAGTGAACACCGCTGCACAAAGTTCCAATGGAGAGGGGAGGTGTTTCTCTACTTCCTGATTGGCTGAGCCCTTTAGACTGACAGGGATGATAACCAATGGGCTGCAGTAGCCTGAGGTAAGGGCCGGATGATCGGCACAGACTCTACGCTGCTGATTTGATTTTTCTTCATGCATTATGCAAATATAACGAGGCTAATAATAATAATAATAATAATAATAATAATAATACATATTATTAATATCCATGTCAGTCTGCCGGCCCAAACAGCACGTCGGCCCACCGTGTAAATGCCCGGTACGCCCGATTACCAGTCCATGCCTGCGTAGCGATGAAATGATTCATTCTGCTGCTGCTCTCTGCACTAAAACTTCTATAAACTTCTCATATTTTTTAGTTTTTGAATATATTTAGCAGAGATACTCAGTTCCAGTTGCTTTTGAGTAATTTTAGCTCAAAGTTTTTAGAAAAGTGTAAAAGCTGCTGCAGACTGTATTAATAAAGGACTTTTCAAACCAAGGTTTGATTTTTAATTTGATCGCATCTAAACCTGAACATGATCTGAAGGACAATGAGGAAGAAATGTTTCTTAATCTGCTTAACGTATCTTTATTTATTCATTGACATCATACCAGCTGATACCAGCTGTGTAGCTCAGGGATCTGCTGCTAGAATAATTGCGTATTTTATGGGTTTTCTGTACATTTTACTTGTGCAAAGCTACAAACGTTCCCCTAAAAACGCTTTTCTTTGCGCTATTGGAGCTCAGAATACAGACTGCATTTGTGTAAACAGACGAGCTGTATGTTGGAATCAAGGAAGCAGATTTCTCTGATGAAACTTGTTTCCAAACGATTAACACTAGAAGTTCCAGAGAATTCCAGTTTTCCTGCAAGCCCTCCCCCCCCTCTCCTCTTCCAGTTTGTGTATTCCCTCCACCTTGCTAAGTGTCCTTGTTGTAATGGGGAACTGCTTCCTGTTTGGACATTTTCACTTCCTGTTTGGATTAACTGAGTGTGGAGCTGTTGCAGCTGTCCAGAGGAACTCCATCTGAAGTTAAGTTATTTTCTCTGTGATATCTCTGTATCTAAGTAACTCTAACTGACTACTTTAAAACATAGCACCTTCTGCGGCACTTTTCNTAAAATTACCGTTTTCTCTAAAATCTGAATTAGAACCCAACAAAACATTTGAGCATTTTTTTAATTTGTTTTGAAAAACATTCAGCAGATAAAAGCTGGGATCCCGTCTCAATCCCACTGAAGCTTTTATCTTATTGTTTATAAATAATTATTAAAACAGAATAAAAAAATGACTCAGATCCGAAGGACCAATCAGTAACCGTGTCTGTTCCAGCGCAGATCATCGTTAGAACTTCTCTGAGTGTCGTGTCTTCAGTACGGCGGCCATAACAGGGACAGTACATGATCTACAGGGGAACGCCTTTAAAACGAGGCTTTAACATTTCTAAAACATTTCAATTCATTTCAAAATAATTTTTTCAGAATTACTTTTTGTTTTATAGCTGTTTAAACAAATCAAAGGAGATTTAAAATTCCACCTGACATGTGTGACTCTGAGGGAGTAATGCAACAGCAGCTATTGTTTTTTAGCCCCGCCCCCTAATGGCCGCCATCATTGGAAACTAGAAGCTCAGACCTTTCCAAGGAGGGGTCAGAGGTCATTGAGCGACCATGTCAGGTGATGGAACCTTCATGCGTTCCATAAGCTGCTCTGTTATTCTTATTTTCTATCCAGTTTGGTGATTTTATTGGTAAATTTAAAAGATTAAACGACTAAATCTGAGCAGCAAAGGCTTTGCCTCCTGCAGAAGGTCTCCAATAATGGAAATCAGCATATTTGTCTGACCAGATTCCTTATTATGGGTGGAAATAATGCATTTTTGCATAATTTGGCCACTTTTGGCACCACTGTGCTAAAATCAGCCCCCTGCTCATTAAAACCTTTGAGGAACAAACACGCTTCATCTTATTCAGTCCAGATTAGCTTTAGTTCTAGTCTAGAAGTGGATCTATAAAGTCTGAGGTTCATCCAGAGTTTCTAATGGGCTTTATGGGGTTTAACAGAGTTTATTTTAGAGGCTAAATATTTTTCATTTTTATAATCACCTATAATTTATTAAAATGGTTCCTGTTATACAGACGATGGAATCAGAATCAGAAATGCTTTAATGATCCCAGGAGGGATTA